TTACTTGACACAAAAAAATCACAAGGAAAATAAAATTATATGTGTAGTGTAGTTTATATAGATAATTCTAGGTTTTTTTTTGTTCCGAGGCCCCAAGAACTCTTCAGCGCCCAATGGGGGGCGATAGGGACCACCTTGGGAAACTCTACACGATATGTTTAGTCCAAGCAAAGTGTCCCATTACACAGGGCGTCTCACGTCTTTTATTATTAAAATCGTGTTTTGTTTTTTACTGTTTGGTCGCACATATCAACTACATCATCTAGCAGTAGAGCACCTGGTGAAAGAGTTCCTTACCTATTTTTGCCTACAAGCAGTAATGTGAGCATTACTGCGTTCCGGTTTAGAAGGGTAAAAGTGCTGCTGGTGAAATTACAGGCATATGGGACTTGTTAACTTATGTCTCTGTGGCAGTGACCCTATGAGCGGTTACACACGGCAACGATGCAAACGCGATGCAGTCGCTAATCGTCTAGCTTTACACACCCGCGTGATTTTAAGCAGCGACCCAAGCGCGCGACTGCATCGATACAAACGCGTGATTGCATCCCTACACTTGGGATTTAGAGGCGATTGCATCGATGCAATCGCGTGTTTGTATCGATGCAGTCGCGTGTTTGCATCGATGCAGTCGCGTGTTTGTATCGATGCAGTCGCGTGTTTGCATCCACGTTTCACGAACACGCGATTGCATCGCTGCTAAAAGTCGCCGCGTGTAACCACTCTAAGATCTTTGCGATTTAAAGCTCTGAATGGCACTGCAACTGTTATGGATAGGCGTGTCGCTTACCATCAGGCGCACGACGTGTTCGTCGTCGTCGTTTTTTTATCGTGTATTACACAATAAAAAAAATGCAAAATTAGTACTACTAAATAATTTACAAGTTAGTTTACTGTACTTAATTTCGGTGGGTAAAAATTTTTATTATTTGAATTCTAGAATATTATCGAGGAGTATCATTTAATTTTAATTTAGTATACCGAAATTATTTAATTATTTAATATTTCACCATAATATACTCGAATACGTAAATAATAAAAATTGCCACTGAAATTAGGTAGAGAAAGCAGACCTAAAAATTTAAATAAAATGTATTACTAAAATTTTAACTTCCAGTGAACAAAATGTAACATCTTACCAACATCAAGCATCAAAGTTTTATCTTCATAATTATAACCTTTTTATTTAAAAAACCGACCTCAAAAGTTCGTGTAATTACATATTTTGAATGCGCCATCTTCAATTTTTTTGACACAAGCAGAAGTATTATAGTTATACATACACAAAATTGCTACGATGAAATGCAAATGGGCTGGACACATAGGTAGGATGGACCGAGGTCGATGGGCAAGGAGGATCACGGAATGGCGATGTGCCAACACGCGTGGCTTAAGGTCGTCCGCTTTGGGTGGATGACGTCAAAATTTTGCATGTGGTACGGTAGCGACAGATGCCTATATCAATAGAGACTGCTAAATGACGATTTTGACAATATGTATACGCGTATTACAAGTAGGCTAGGGAGCCACTCCCCATGATCAAAGCTAGCCTATTTCGTAAATTTCTTACGCTCAAAAGGAAAGAACTGCATACTCTAACAATCACTGTCAAAGTCAAAGTCAAAGTCAAAGATTATTTATTCCATAGGTAAAATAAATTTACACTTGAAAACGTCACATTTAAGCTACTGCTCGTTCACTACGCTGACCTCCCTGAGAAGAACGAGCAAGAAACTCTAGGGATTGCTCTTTTCAAATAAACTTAAATGCTATGGAATACACTTTGAATCAAATTTGTGTGGATTCTGGAGCCATGTCGTCTTTCCATACATCTTTATCTAACACGTAGTCTTCAATTTTGTAATATGATTTTTCGATCAAAATATTTTTAATGTAGTTTTTAAACTTAGGAAATGATAAACTTAACTGTAACGGGTCATGGTCCATATTAGAATAAACACCTTTACAATTTAGGATCATGAACAGCCATCTATGCAGAGCGAAGAAACCCTACCCTGCTGCAATGCTCCTGTGTAATTGCAAGGTGAAGTACCTTGGTAAGCCGAGGTCACTCCACGAAGTGTTTAGCAAATTGAAGGAGCTTGGGCAGCACGAGTCTGCCCTGCACCCACCAAACGCAAAATAGTCACCTGGACGCCGAGTTACGGACACCAGTCCATTGTACCATACTGTACCATGCCTATTAGTTAAAGTTTAGGTATAATAAGTAGACTTTGGCTATTCTAACCTTTAATAATAACAATAGAACTTACGTGAAAATCCGTCACATTCCTCCCAAACCAAGTAACTAGCATATCCCATGCTACTGTAAAGCACAGTCCACACAGGTCCAAACACTTCATTAGGTGGGTTCCAGGGCGCCTTATTTAATCCATCATACCATGACTTTTTATTATCTTTGCTATAAATTTGGTCTCTCAAGAAATAGCCATTCACCCAGCCTCCAATGTTTGGGAGAATAATTGATCCAAGAGCTGGCCAATTTGCCATTATAAATTTTCTGAAATTGATAAATTAAATGTTTTGAGCATATTTAAATTTTTTACCATTTTACCTAAGCAACAGTAAGTGAAGGGGCTGAAGTCCTTGCTAATTACATGCCTCTGGGCATCACATTATCAAATCTTAGATATAGTAATCAAATACTTCTAGTGTTTTAAATTTAATTTCAACATTCACTGCTAAATAGAAGCAACAATGATTATCGACACAAATGTCAAGAATGTAGGTACATATTCTTAAGCAATGTAAGTATGCTTCTGTTATCCTGCACTTCAGACTTTCAACTATCTGTACCAGCAGCAATGTCCGGCTAGTTATTATTATTTTCTTTATGGCAGTCACGTTGCTTGTGCCAGTATTAGTTTTCTAAAAATTATGGCCATTATCACCAGTGTCAGTTCACTATAGGTAACGTATATAGAGTAATAGGTAAGTATAAGATTGGAAAAAAATGTTAATAAAATTAATAATAACGAGTTAGCCTGTGTGTCCCACTGCTGCGCACTGGTCTCCTCTAACAATGAGGTTTTGGCAGGCATGGGCTGTAATTCCCATAAGGGTCCAACGTGAATTGGGAGCTTCATGCATATCATTAAATTGCTTTTCTCACAAAGCAGGTTTGTGTTTTCCTTCACCGAAAAACTCGTTTCAAATGAAAATTTATACATCAATTCCGAAAAACTTAAAGATAGATAGATAAATAGAGAAAGATAGATAGATAGAGAGACAAGCCAGTATTTCAAACCACAACCTTCAAAACCAACAGGCTATTACAGCATAAAAATAATAAAAGTAAGAATTAAAACAAATAAAACAACAGCCACCTTTGGACACCTTCAATTTCGTTATTTGCTTCAGTCATAGTTGCACAAATTAAAAAAGTCTTTAAACTATTTAAAACGCCAGTCTTTTTTAAACACGTTCCTTAAACTTACTATGCCGCTAAGAGGTATCAAACTGAATGAAAAAATTGTCTAACCATTTAAGATCAGCTTAAACATCAATCTTCTCTATCTCGGTCTCTGTAGAAAAACTCCAAAAATCGCTAAAATTAGATTGTTTACACAACCTTCTAGGTTAATCAACAAACTAACGACGAGATAGGTAGTCAAAACTTCGCTGATTATGCTCAATATCCCACGTTAATCCGAAAATACTTTTTTTTATTGGTACTTACCAAATCACGAGACGATTCCAAAAATTCAACGATGACCGCAATCTTTAGAACTTAACAAGATTCACGATGACTAATATCATCTGTATCGCTCTAATCAATTATTCAATGAATTACGCAATTTTTATATTTACATTATTTATACATCACGCAATTACGCCGGCAAAAATTCTAGAAAATGTTAATTATATAGAAGCATAATAAAAACAAAGGTTACTTACATATTTTAGGTTTGGGAAATCGTATGAATTAATAATTCAGCTGATAGGATTAAACCCGGGGGAAAACTTTAATGTACGACAAGGTACGATAAACAAAACCGGCAAAAGTATCTTATATCGAGAAAATTGAATAGACTCTAAATAGTGATAGAAAACAACAAGTTTTGTAACCTTTTCAATTTAATAGGAATATAATCTAGAGTGACATTTGTCAGATGACTGACTGGATTGACTATTTCGAAATACGCAAATTATCTCAGTACATAACAAGGTACTCTTTGAAATATCTCTATTTGCTTCAAGTCTAATGGTCGTATTCCAGAAATCTACTCAATGCTCAAGTCAGGACTTGAGTATGATTTAAAGCACTAGAAATTTATGCTCAAGTCCTTGCGTTTAGGGTCGTCTTTCCAGAACGTTTCGTACGTGACGTTTTCGGATACTAGAACTCTACTCAATGCTCAATTCAGGATTTGAGTATGGTGTAAAGCAGTCGAAATCATACTCAAGTCCCCGCCATTAGGATCGTATTTCCAGTGCTTGTGTTTCCAGTGCAATCCTGACTTGAGCATTGAGTAGAGTTCTAGAATACGACCGTACAAGTCACAAATTCATAATGTCTATTCTCTGTTATTATACATGTACATCTTAGGGGATTTGTATTTACTCAGTTTCAAGCTTAGACTACTTCCTTTATGCTTTTTCCATCCCTAAGATTTGTTTGAAGCAGTATACAAAAATATTGACAACTCGTTAGAGTATGACTTCTCAGAAATCTCAGATAATGAATTACAATGACAAAAGCAAAATTAAATTTTCAATAAATACTATTTTCAGAACTACTTAAAACAAATTAATTACATTAGATGTATTGTATTATTATAATATTACCAGAGAACAAAAAAGTAATATATTACATTAATAACAAACAAAATACAATACGTACAACAGAACGTTTCCAATTGAGAAAGAGAAAGCTATAATAATTTAGTTAACGAAGAAAAAAGATAGAACCATGAAATAATTCGTGATATTTCATTATCTTATCACTTTTTATCATTCGTAATTTCGTTATAGATTACGTATTATATAATTGAACTATTTAAATATAAGTCCTTTTAAGTAACACCGGACCCTAGACTTCGATTTAAAATAATATTATTGTTCCTGACCTCAAATACTTTAACAGTGGAGGACCAACTTAGGTAAACACCTACGTAGTATAATTTATTTTTGTTTCAAAGACGTAGACATAGCCGTAAGACTGTCTTTGTATTCTTCTACATTATTCTTATTTTTTGCATGAATCTGGCGTGTTGTACTAACTAGGCCGCCAGGTAGTATATTGTTTTGTTACTGTAGTTATAGCATCATTGGCTAAATCAGTAAAAGAAACCTAACCGAGTGAGAACTACGAATAAAATTGTTAAACGCAGTTAAAAACAGCCACGTATAAGGTGGAGCGACGACCTGTTCAAAGTCAGATACTTTTGCAAGTTAATGGTGAAGTCTATGGTCAGATGTGGGCACCACTAAACAGATTGATAAAAGAGTCACACTACGCATAGCTATAAGTTCGCACCGCTGGGCACAGATCTTTTGTAAACAAGGGATTTAGGTCTATACTTACCCATAATAATTTTACGTTTCATTTTCCAGCTAACAATGCCGGACTGGACCTTAGTAGGAGCTATACTGCTTCCAAATGCAGGCGGATGGGCTAGCACCCTTACAATGATGGGCCAAGTGAAACAGCCTGATAACAAGGCTTGGTACCAGACCATTAAGAAACCCAGTTGGAACCCACCCAATTGGGTTTTTGGTCCGGCATGGACTGTTCTGTATACCGGCATGGGCTATGCTTCTTATATGATATATAAGGATTGTGGTGGGTTTACTAGTAAGTCAAGAATCCTTCAAAAGAAATTTTTCCCATTGAGGAAAGCTCAAAAATTCTGCATATTGTAATTTTTAAGTTTATTCAATGTCACAATGTTTTACTATCATGATGTTCAATTATTTTTTGTGAAATTACTCCACTAGTTTGTTCCCTTCAAAACTACTACTTGCTGGCAAAAATAGGATAAACTGACACAAAGAACTCTACTGCTACTAAATATATTATGTAATATATAGAGCAGTTACCAAAACAGGTGTAAATGCAAATTTTTTGAATATATATAAAAAAAATAACTTATTGGCTGTGAATTTTTATGTAAAATGCTGTTTTACAGATGAATCCGTGCTGCCACTTGCTCTATATGGTGGACAGTTGGTACTAAATTGGACGTGGACACCCGTCTTCTTCAGATTCCACAGAATTGGACTGGTAACTTTGTAAACTATACTTTAAACCATTATTTACGACACACAATAATACAAACAGAACATATAACAATACTAGCGGAAAAACAACAGTGTGTGTTCCTTCCGGAACAGGCTCATTTTTAATCTTTGTGGCTGTGTGACACATGGTACTGATTTCAGCCTGGCGTTGTTGACACTTACTTAATAACTAACCACTTACAGAAGTGCCCACCAGAAATAAATCTGCTAATACGTACAGTTAACAGCACTTCAAGTTACACATTGACGTATCTTGTTCCGTTGAACTGGAGGCGATTTTCGAACAAAAATGTGTAGTCTGATGTGCTGTTGTCTGTACATGCATTCAACACAAAGGACAAAACGTTTTATTTTGCGAATTTAATTATTTTTGCAAAAATGTGTACAATCACCAGCTAACTGAGTGAATGGCGTATGCAGTACAGCTGTTGGCTAATACACGAAGCTGCCATTCATCTGCAGAATTTATTTGAAATAACTCACTAACGGCCTTAATATAAAGTATATTCTTGAATAACATCATTAATTTATTATATATCACACTGTTAGGTCGATCTCTTCTAAAGAGAGGGCTTAGTTGTAAACTTTCTTCATCAGATTTCATCATAAAATATATACCTATGTACATCATATAAATAATAACATTTTTATTAAAAAGAAATATTCCACCTTAGAGGTGGTATATTTCTTTCAAATTAAACGGGACCAATACTAAGGTACACTCTGCCCAATAAAAAAAAGTCATCAAAATCGTTTCACAAATTCAAGGCCGGAGTATATACAAAAAAAGTTCAAATTGAGAACCTCCTCCTTTTTTGAAGTCGGTTAATAATATATTGCATAAATAATCACGCATTCGCATATGTACTACATACATAACTCAAAGAATTAAAGAGTGAGAAGGGATGAAACTTATCCCCATTGGGCTAACACAATTTTATTTAAACGTCGGAAACGAATGATATTTTTTTTAAATTTATTCACTTAATTCGGGCCACATGACTAATATAATATAACAATAACTATCTACACGAATTGCACTTGTCGGCGACGTGTGGCGCAATCTGGTGTCAGGTAACCGAGCGCCGATATGTGACACCCTTCGGCCAAAACTCCTCTTTCATGAAGGTCGAGAGATGTTCGGTTGGCACTCTCACCACCACAAATGAATTAAAATTCACGTCGTGTCAGGACTCCAACCGCTCGACCCTCAGTGTGTATTTAGCCTGATGTACTCAACTGTCTCCTCAGAATTATGTTATTTATGTCAAAAAGTTAAAACTGTTATTTCAAAATCCATTAATAAAGGTATACTATTGCAACAAGTAGACAAGTTACCAGAGAACTTTCATACAACTTTGTGCCGTTTCATTATTGTATATTGTGATGTATTCTTTATCCACAGGCCCTTCTCCACATAGGCGCAATAGACGTTGCAGCTACAGTATGCGCAATAAGTTTCGCTAGCGTCAACTCGCACGCTGCATACTTGATGGTGCCGTATTTGGCGTGGCTGGGATTCGCCACATGTCTTAATTACAAGATTTGGACGCTTAATAAAGACGAGAATGGTGACGAGGGGAAGGTAAAGAAGTAGGGGCGGATAGGACGAAATAGAGCATAGGGATCACATATGTGCTGAAAATTAATTGCAATTAGTTTTTTAAGTTTATTAAATGTCACGATGTTTGACCATCAGATATTCAATTATTTTTATGAAATTACTCCACTAGTTTCTAATAATTATTAAGAAAAGAATAAATTAAAACTTAGTACTGCAGTCTTATGTTTGTTTAGGATTTTTCATCATAGGAAATACTGTAACTATAGGGAAAAAATAGGGTGGTTTGCATTAATATTAGACATAACTAGTTGATGACTTTACCACCTCAGTCAGCCGTGACCATGGGACCTGTAAAGAGCTCGAAACGTCGTTTTGTATGAAAAAACAAATATACGCATTTAAATCCGGAAAAATATTTTCCTAAATAATAATCACTAATATTATTATACTGTACACATATTGTTTTGTTTAATATGAATAAATTGTCAAATACTCTATAATTATTTGTTATATCGTCAGCTCGGTGCAAGTAGTAATTAATTGCCATATTACTTACATCGCAATTAATGACTTCTTGCACTAAGCCGACAATATGAAAAACTAGAAAATTTCAGTTTTTCCATATAACATATAAAATTAGTTATGATTTTTTTCTCAAAAAAAAAAAAAACTTTAAATCACTCTCCTATAATACTTTCCAATGCATGTTAGACGTTATTACATTTCTAGCGATATGTTTGTGAATTCCATGAATATTTTTGTTTTCAAAAGTTCTAGAAAGTTCTAATCGAGTTCAATTTGTATTGTTTTCTAATTTATAAACGGGCGTTTATCACCAAAGAAATAACACGTCAATGTCAAATTGACCAATCAGGTGACTTCAACTGGCTACATAAAAATACTCCCAATAGCTATACTAAGTATGTCAATTAAATTAACAATGATTTTATAGTCTATATTTACACTACAGTGGCGAAGAGTGTATATGAAATGATTTCCATCAGCTGGCCATTCAAAAATCTAGGCATAATAATTTAACTTAATTTGAAAAAACGGCTGATTTTATTCGACAATCAAACCGCGCAAGTACGGAACGCCTGACTACTTTGTCCGACGAAGTATATTATTATCGCGGAGTTCTCTTAGTAAATCAACTGTACCTTTTACTACTGTGAACTGTGTGTTACATAAATAAAAATTGATTTTAGTACAAGTTTTTTGTACTCAATTTTGGTGACAATTTTTTTTTTAGTTACTCGAATATTAAAAAAAATGATTCAGGTTACCGCATTCGAATATTAAATAATGCTTCACGATGATATTCTATAAATATTTCGATAAAAAGAAATTGTCACCAAAATGGAGTACAAAAAACTTACCTGAAAATCACTGAACAACGCAATAAGTGGTCATTAGAACGTTGTAACATTCACAATTCTTTCTCAATCTATCGATAAAACTATCGATAAAAGCTAGCTATTTAAAATTTTATGAAAACTGGCAACCCTGCAAATGTTATTTTACTCTTGTTTTTTGTTTTGTGCTGGTTGTAGAACTTGTCTATGGGTCGTATTCTAGAACTCTACTCAATGCTCAAGTCGGGACTTGAGTATGATTCAAAGTACTAGAAATCATACTTCAGTCCTTGCCATTAGGGTCGTATTTCCATTGCTTGAAATCATACTCAAGTCTGCTCAAATCCTGACTTGAGCATTGAGTATAGTTCTGGAATACGACCCTATGATTTTCAGTGGTATGTAATAACGTCGCAACTTTCAACTTCACTACTTATCATTTCTTCGCCACTGGCACACTAGGTTTAAGATAAACATTTGTATACAATTTATCGAAGATTATATTTACATAAAAAAATAAACATAATTAAGATCACTTCATGCGTTTCAATTTGTTCAATTCCCCTTGTTGTATGGCCGCGTCTTTGTAGATCTGTTTCACTTTTGCTTTGCGGATGTTGTCGCTGTAGAAAGATAATTTAGATTATTATCAGCCGCGCCTTTGTAGGCTTACTTAGTTTATCCAGTGTGTTTTAACCACAGACTAGTATATTGAACTGGACCGCGCACTAAGTTAATAAAACGAGCCGAGTGAAAGGCATCAAGTAGTAATGTGTCTCTTTCTAATAGGGTGTTCATTAATTTTTCAGTCAGCCATATTGTTTTTAACTTTTTAGTTTTTACAGAAAATGTGGCCGCTTATGGATGACCAAAACTACTAATATTATTTCATAAAACAAATTTGTATACTTATTTGATGTGCTACTTCATAATAGATGGTTTCATTGTTGACATAATTTTGTATTATTACAGTAAAAGCATAAAATATTACTTTTAAGCAAATATATCCAAAATTTAAAAAACTTAATAGACAAGACACTACCCAAGAAGATTTTATTTAGCGTTGGCAACTTGTTAGACAAGGACAGACCACTACTTCGAGCTACCACGAGTCTCGGTTGTTTACTTTTACTTAAAATAAACCTTAACTTAACCCAAGAAGGTGTAAATTTCATGGTATTATGAAGTATATAAATCCGAGCTTTTAACTACTTCCGTGGCCAAACGGTCCCGGCCTCGATTCGCGGAAATATTTGTATGGCCCACATTTATTTCTCTCGTGAATTTGGGTGTAATTCGTGTATATTATGTGGCGGGGCTATGAGTGTATGCGTTGAATTATTATTATAGTGCATAGTTTTTTAGTTTTTTTCGCCGTTAGAGCAACTGGCACGGATTCGAATATACTAGTAAATAATAGTAAAAGCCCACTTAGAACTAAAGCTTTCTCCGCGAAAATCAAGTTGTCTCAAACAGGCAAATGTACAAAAATACCTCTGTATCTTCTGCCGAATCTTGACAGAAGCGATGTACGCCTTGTCCCGCCGGATCTCCCTGAGGGCGCCCTTCATCTCCTTCTTGACCTTGTTTTCCAGCCGGGCGCGCTCGGCCTGCTCGCGCGTCAGCTTCGAGCTCTTGCTATCCGTGAAGCTGTGTTACAAAAATAACAATATTTGCAAGGTCTTTATTAAAAAAATAATGATTAAACTATATGCGGTACTTGGCCAGTTCTATTCTATCTCTTTGGTTTTTTGTTTTGTAACGTTTGTTTGGCTTTCGTCTAAATATATGAAGAGGCTGTATGGTGGAACCTTTGCCTACCCTAAGAAATGGGTTTATTTAAAAAAGCGTTTGTTTTCATGGATTGTTACCAATGCTTCTGTTTCATAATTTTATTTACTTGTTAAAAAAGTATTATATGCAACCATTACATAAATAGGTCTTAAAATCTCGGACCTATATTACTTAGGCCATTCGGCAAAGCCTCGTGACCTAAACAATGTACTCGACTTTAAGAATCCTCATTATGCAACGATGGCATAAACTACTACTTTTGAGAGTGAAATAATGATAATGTTACTTACAATTCTTGGAAATCTGGTTCGTATAATCTTAAGATCTTAAGCTTCTTCTTTTCCCTCGACAACGGTGTATATGTCTTCATTTCTAAGCCTTCTTTTATAAATTTCACCGTCTCGGTTATTTTGCTCGCTACTTTCTTTGGATATAACTCCAAATCGATCCAACTAAACAGATGTAAATGCGGCTTAATAATGCATTCCTGAGCTTCCAAGTCATTAAAATTATTGAAAAACTCTTTTAACATCATCGCACATGATAATAAACTGGTTATTTTAAAACCATTGTCAATGGTTTTTAAAACTAAATCTCTTGCCGCCATTTTGTCGCCGACTTCCATTTCGCTACAATCGTCTGCTAAATTCAAAATTTTGGCGTCTTTGTGTAATCTGAATGGCGGGACGACTTGTACAGGATTTAATATGGAAGTATTTGCCGCCAAATATAATATTCCTCTTAAAAAGTTTATGGCAGATGGAACAAATCTTTTTGATAAAGCTGTGTATTCTAGAACTAACGCAACAATAAATAATCCCCTTGAAACCGAATATGCGTTATTGAATTTGGATAAAGTAAGAATTTCGGACATAAAAACTAAAGATGGCGTCGTTACTGGATGTCTGAAATCAGAAGTAGGATACAGTAATGATACTAATTTGAAAAATATCAACGTATCTAAATCGGGAACCTTTCTGGGATTCTTTTTGAATTTGTCATGTTTTTCTTTTAGTAATTCGACTATAAATTTCTTAGAAGACACTTTGTTTGTTTGTGTTAAAGAATAGAAATGTGGAGCAAGTTTGTCAAATATCAAAAATGCTTTAATAACATCTCCTTCGTTTTGTAGGTCGGTGAATATGTCGTTAATATATTGAAGCATGTGAGCAAATAGCCGGCTTTGTTTTTCTTTGTTATTCTCGGATAATCCGGGATCGTAACTTTGAATCAATTTTTGTAAAGTAGTAGATTGTTGGGTAGGCGTTTTGTCTGACAGAAGATCCTGAAACAAAATTTTAATCATTTTCTTACAAATTGTGTAATTTATTAAATATAACAAAATGTGGTGCAGACGAAACCAGAAAAAAGCAACAGGTTTTATTTGAAAAAGATTAAAACAGGTTCAGATCGTTTTGAACACTCTTACCTTTAAATTCTCTCCTTCATCACCTTTAACATCGAAGAACAGTGTAATTTTGTCTTCAACATCCTCTGTCAGTTCATCACCGCTCTCTTCATCGGACACCTTCAAATCTCTGAAATCATCATTTTTATCTCCGTCTTCACTACTTGATTCTTCATCATCACTTTCTTCCCCACTGGATTCTTCATTATTAATCTCTTTGTCGTCATTTGAACCTTAATGAACAAATAATTATTTATTACGGAACAAGTGATAGGATTACACAACGGAAGTACAAACATGAGTGCCAACGTTAAAATTCAACGAAAGCACTGTCTCAAAAGTAAATGTTCGAAATTTTCTCTGCATGTTCGATATTTGTAATCATAATCATAATAAAACTAGTAGAGTTATTACAAAAAAATCTCAATAGATACATTTGATCGAAAAGCGCCTCTGCGTTAGTTGTGATACCTGTAAAGGTATCGGCTGAATCGGTGAGAAGGTTATTCAAAATTCTCTCACTAGACAATCTCTCTAAAGACCGATAGCAAAAACACTAGGAGAATTTCAATGACACGGTAAGTGGCTCAGATGGTTAGAGCAATATTACGATGCAGTATGTACGTGGGTTGAAATTCCACCGGGTCGACGAAAATTGTTTTGTGTGTTCGATCTCTATATTCAATCATAACAAAACTAGTCGAGTTATTTCAAAAACAATCTCAATAAATAAATGATGTAATTATTAAAAACATTTAGAGTCCAATACTATAAAATAAACATAGTATTACCTTCATTTTCATCATTGTTTGATAATTCATCACTCTTAGAAATTTTAAGTGATCCTTTTCCTGCACTACTTTTCACATCTTTATCTTTTTGCTTATTATTTCTTTCTAAATCTTTTGTGTTTGCATCTTTCCCTTTTTGTTTATTTTCAACAGCATCAACTTCTCTGTTCACTTTAACGTTTTCATTACATGTCTTTATTTGGCTTTCATCATCACTTTGATCATCAGACTGCTCATTAGATTCTACTTCTTTTTCGTCGTCTTGTGCTATTTCATCATTATCATCTCCTTCACTATCACCGTCTTCATCATCGTCATCATCTTCTTCTGACGTATCTGATATACCGTCTTCAAATTTCGGCTTAGCGTTTGGAACTGTAAGCGGTTGGGAATTGAAATCAATGTCAAAGTCAAATCTTTATTTCATAGGTAAGCAAAATTACACTTGAAATAGTTTTACTGTGTGCACTGTGATGAGAAATAACATAATATGTTATAATTTAACAAAAATATCGGCACATACACACAAATGTGCCTAATTGATTACTATTGTGATATTCGTTATTATTATTATTATTTAATAGAAGGAGCCATTAGTTAATTACTATTATTTTTTATATGTATAAGTAAATAGAAATGCTACACAGCTGTATTAAGATGATCCTATAAAAATAGCTGTATGTATACTAGACATGAGCGCCGATAATAGACCAACCAGCGGAGGTGCGCCGACAAAAAAGTGTGGCGGCTGCGGCGTTTCGGCGGCGCGAAAGCGACCCTAAAACGAATTTGTATATCGGTCTTTGTTTTTACAAAAACCGTTATACAAATAGTTTTTCAAAAAAAAAAACTTATTTTCTATAGTAATAAATTTTTTATCAGTGCGATCAGGTGCTCCGATCGTACGCACGCGCACGCTTCCATATTGTGTATGCGTAGTGAAAAGGGCGACGCCAGAAATTGACAATCTAGCTTATCCTCTACTAGCTCTCCGGGCTAGGCCAGTCGCAGTGTCCTTCGACAATGTCCGGACATAGCTTCCAACTTAAAGGGCAACTCACGTGCCCCGCGTATCTCCTCACATACAGGCCCTCAACTAGACCGCTACTAAGACGCGCTAGCTGCTCACGAGACAGACGCCCCGGACACATGCAAAACCGGGGCAGACAAACATGTCCGTCTCTGCAGCTAACCACAAACCCCAGCGAGTCCATACCCAAGTTCGGGTCCGCCAGAGACGCCCGCAAAGGCGTATCACTGGCGGAGGGCTTGGCCCGGACGCCCGCTGTACCCTGGTCTTGCCGTCAAGCCCGTAGTCTCTCCGGAAAACCCTATCTCTCGGGTCGGTAGATAGGGACAATTGCTTCGGTTGTACAAGCACAAGTCCGGTCGTACATGGCGTACTGTTGCCACCTTTAGGATGGCTCTGTTACATACCAACTGGCCACCTTTGATTCAATTGACAACCGTGCCAAGAAGAGGTGGCTCGGAATTGGTGGAGACGAAGCTGCAGAGCCTTGAACATCGCCATAAAGTTGCCAGCTTATCGGTATTTTACAGGATATATCATTGAGAGTGTGCGATGGAATTACACGATTTAATTCCGCTTTCCCCTTTCCATCACTGGGGGACTAGGCGTAGACTTGGGTTCCACCTCTATGTTGTGGATATTCCAAAGATTCGCACGAAGCATTACGCTTCCACATTTATATGGCGAACGGCTATGGAGTGGAATTCCCTGCCTGCAAACTTGTTCCCTGCACGTTATAACTTTTATATAGGCATTTATCTATCGTCGACCTTATCGTCCCTTTGTGCCGATTGCATTTGGCGGCGGCGGCGGCGCGCCGGCGCGGCGGTCATGTCTAATGTATAGTATAGCACATCAAGCTACACATTGACGTATCTTGTTCCGTTGCAATGGAGTTGGAGTTGCAATGGAGGCGATTTTCGAACAAAAATGTGTAGTCTGACGTACCGTTGTCCATACAAATACAACTAATAAGTATATAAATAAATAGTTTTCCGATTGGGTTAATAGAATTCTCGAAGGGGCGTATCATGGCCAAATCTTGTAGAGAAACTGATCAATGATGGTACCACATATCAGTACCTGAGTAAGTCTTCAATATATCATCGGGCACCAGAGGTTTTCCATCTTTGTCATAAGCCAGCATGAATTCTTTCTCGTCCTCTAATTCGAAATTGTCATCTAAATCATCAGCCGATCTGTAAGCGGAATTACTTGACTAATTAGTATTGAATATTTATATACAGGCTGATTTAATAACAGAAGTTGAGAAATTTTTATGCTTTAAAAGAAAAATGTGAGATGTTGTTTCAGAAATATTAAGATATAAAAGATATCTAGATAAAGTTACAATAACGAATGTTGGGAATGGCAGAAAAATAAGTAGGTTGAATGATGTAGGAATGAGAGCTTTGCACACTATAATATTGTGTTATTCTTAAAGACGCAGAACAGTGTAGAAGAACGCTGTGATGTGAAAGATGATGTGGAGGCCAGGATAGAAAAAGGAATGCTTTTACGGTTTGGTTATGTAGCAAAAATAGATATGTTAATAGATTGACGGCTCAAGATCACACAGTCAATGTGTATTGAAATGTGGATAGTGGTGACATTTAAGAAGCCAGGTGAAAAGTAGCAAAAAAAAACGGGCATGTATGAAGAAACTGATGCTAGTGGAGGAGGCAAAAGAGTTTTTTCGGAAGCGTAGCCAGTGGAAGTTCATTGACTCTATCAACCCTAGTGGGAGACAGGCAAGATGGTATATGTATATTTTGGACCAGCTAAGATAACCACAAAAGCGGCAAGAGAAAACTTTTACACTTTACCTGTGTTTAGCAGCAGTTTGTTGCACTTTGGGCGCATCTATCTCGTGATCACCGTACATCCTCATTTGCCTCTCTTTCTCCAGCTTTTCCAGTTTCTCCCGTTCCTCTTTAGCTTGCTTTTCGTCGTTCTTCAACCCGTCTGATGGCTAAAAATCAGAGTCAAACATTAGGAGAAATTATTAATGCCTACAGTTTAAATTTAAATAAATGAATTATCCTTTACTTCACATTCAAAATTACAATGACACCACAGAACAGTAACGTAAATATTAAGAAAGTAGTTTAAATTAATGGTATAGTAGTAAAACAATGGTAATTAAGTTTGTTTTCTAAAGTATTTATAATATTGCACCTGGAAGGACTTCAATCTAAGTTTCTGAGGAATCTAATCTAAATAAATTTAAAAAAAATGAAGTATAAAAAAAGTTTAGTAACATTTAGTAACAGGCGTATTATTATTGCAGGATAGGAAACTAGCAGATACGACATTCCCATATAAAAGTAAATATATGCTAATATGATTAGAAGTTGAAGATTTTTTGTTCCAATTTAATAGAGTTCCGTACGCAACGGTGAAGTTTAATTATGTGGATTATCAATACTTACAGTGCCTCGTCTATCAAACTTCAATTCTCTCATCATCTTATCGTAATCAGCACTTTTCTTCTCGGTTTTACTTAACAACTTATCAATAATTGATTCTTCATTTTTTTCCTCCATCCTTGGCCGCTTGAATACTACAGGTTGCAAATCCTTCCACTCACTGTCCAACTTTTCTGTCAAGTCTAAAGTTTGCTCTTTTTCTTTCTGTTTTTCTGCTTTACGCTTCTTGGATTCGGCTATGAGCTGCTCTATTAGGTCCTTGTGCGATTTAGCTCCATCTTGCTCTGTTTTTGATAGAATACCTCCACCAAAGTGGCCTTCGGACACGAATTCGTCTAAAAAAAATCGTTTGTCATATAATGACAGATTTAAATTGTTCAGTAGCAGTAGAGATCCCTGTGGGACACTGTGCTCAGGGAAGTACTGTTACCTCACCTGTTACTGCTATCAAGCAGAAATGAGCCCTACTATGCTCCGGTTTTAAAAGGAAAGGTGATGGTGAAAGCTATGGACTTACAGGGATGAAGCATGAAAATTGTTATTAAAGCCAGAACAAAACAAAAAACACGATTGGTTAGCACACAAGGTACTAGTATACTTCATTTCACTGGTTAACAAAATTTAGCACAAAATGTGTTATTTGATAATACGTGGAACATTTTAGGCAAGCCGGTGAAAATAGAGTTATATGGACGCCTCGCCACTGGCGACTTATAATGAGAAACTTCATATCTCAAGGTGGCAATGCCCCTGATCTGTGATTTAAAGCTCTGAGTTACAAAACAACTGTTGTCAGTTACCCTATGTGGTGCACATCTTATTCATCTCATCATATCATGATATTAAACAGAAACGCTGGTATCGTAAAATTGACGGTGGATATATTATTATAATAAATCAAACGAATACAAGATAACGTTGTTGATATGACGTGTTACATGCTTACACATGTCAAATAGCGGTCAGAAATCACAAAGCCTAGTTTTATTACAGGTTGCAAGATTAATGTAGAAGTCTACAATTTGTTCCAATACCGTTCGTTGTACAACTTACTCCCTCAAATGGTAGATATGCTGAATAGAATGTCACTCTACCAATCTTCATATTGCTAGTTGATAGGTAGCAAGAGAACGTTAGAATAAAAAAATATATTTTACCATCCAATCCACCGAATTTTCTTCCTTCTTCATCTTCATCATCTGATGATTTGGGATCATCAAACTTTTCTATTTGCTCTAATGTTTGTCCTCTGAAATTAAACGACATAAAGTTTTTACTTATTGCAATGAGAATGGCCTTAGCAGAAACAAATTTTCTTCAAGTAAGTATGTTAAAATTAATAGTAACTCGGACTGCAAGACACGAATTCATAACTATAACTACTTCTCCATCAAGAATGTAATTAAGAAGAAGCAGGATAGAATGATAAATATCCAAGATACATTGAATAGATTGCATTGCAAAAAGCACATAAAAAAGTTTATCTTATTTATAAGGCAATCAAAATACAAAAAAAAACTTGGCAGAACTGCTGTTTTGTCAACTTAAAAACCAATTAGTATGTATATAGACGACCTGCAAGCATGGAAAGTCCAAGATCAGGTACTTGAATGAATCACGATAGTACATGTATAGTCATTAGCACATCAAGCTATCACTTTCGTTCAAATATCACCTCCACTGCAACAGAACAAGATCTGTCAATGTGTAGCTTGATGTGCTGCCATCTATACAAACAGACCAGAGTAGATCTATTATTCGTGTGGCTTCATTCATTTCATTCATTCATTCAGGGCTATGCAGCTCCTCATTACTGCAATCATTGACTGATCTATTGTGATCACCATTAATTACAATTCGGAACCAAGGCCAAGAGCATTAAAACTGAAGGATTTTCCTGACTTCGAAAATTTTTAATGTCCTCTGGTTATGGCTGGTGTCTTCCCAGTAAGGAGGTTCATACACCTATGAACGGACAACATTGGGTAAGGAGTTGCAGTCTGTCTGCAGGCTGTCTATTTTCTCTTGACCCAAGTTTTGACATGTGCTCTGCTTGAGCCACAAGGTTTTAAAACTGTAGAAGTAGTACCTGTGAGTCAATATCTCATCATCAGCCAAGTTATAAATGTTCTTTTTGCCATGCTGCTTTGCACGTTCTGCAGCAAATCTTGCAATCATACGGTCTTCAGCCGACAGCTGGTTGTTCTTCTCACCAATACGACGGTCTATGAATGTGTTAGTCTTATTCATGAGCTTCATTTCTGTGCCCAGGGTTTCTTTTCTCTGTTCATACAAATATGTTTTGAAATTTTTTATAATAAAATTAATAATGCCCTACAGTGGGCAACTGAGGGCAATTGAGTACTCAATACTCAATGCTCATGTAAGGATTTGAGTATGGTTTAAAGCACTCGAAATCATACTCAATATCTTGAACGAAAGTGATCGTGATTCATTCAATTCATACTGCCATTAGGGTCGTATTTTCAGTGCTTGAAATCATACCCAGATCCTGACTTGAGCATTGAGTAGAGTTCTGGAATACGACCCTGAGAGAAGAAACTCTCGTTCTAACACAGCGCCAGTAAACATTCCCGATGCACTTATAGTACTATGGCAATTTAAGCATAGCTGTATATACATTGTTGTGTACAATATAGATGTTATTTATGTAGGAGTTACCTTCTGTATGGCTTTAGCGCGCGAAACACCAGGCAACCCACGATCATGTTTCGATTTTTTACCTAAAACTTTAATCTTTTCTTTGTTTATATGAACTTCAAATGGATTCAACCTTTTATTTTTAATATCAGCCTTCCGTTTGTTATGCACTTTGTCAGCGAGTCCCGAGTTTCGCTTGTTTTTGACTTTAACCATTTTTAACACAGAAATTCGTCGTAACGTAAAACAGAAATAAACACATTTAGGTGAGGTTATGTCCGCTGACAGCGTGTGCAGGGTGACCAGATTTAAATTGATAATCCTGCTAGCTTTTCGGGTAAAAACTGCTAAAATCTGCTAAACTTTTTTGAAAAATGCTAAAATTATGCTAACGCATAACTTATTATTAAACTCCACTTGTATTTATTAAATCATCGTTTTGTGACGGTGTGGCCTCCTTACACCGTCATCTCACCTCTTTGTATCGCCTCTCTCCGCTTGTATTCTATCATTTTTTTTATTTTTTACATGTTTTTAAATTTTAAATTTGAATTGTTCCGTCTTCCTTCACTTTCTCATTTTGTTTTCGTACCACGGTCACTCCCAGCTCGACCACCACAACAGTCGGAGCTGTTCCAAATTCCATTTACTAAAATCTTATTTTTGATTCTTTACCAAGTTATAATACAAAACATATAATACAACAGTCGGAGCAAAAGAATTATCAAAAATTTGCTGCAATAATTTTTCGACCAAAAATGAAACCATAAACCTGGATGTAATGGTGCCGCCATTGAAACCCTGGCTATTACACGAACATAAAGATTTCTACAGACGCTTTCTGTCGCTTTTCAGTTTAATCTATGTAATAAATTTTACATAACACATATTTCTACAAAACGACCCATTCTGAACAGGGTTCATAAAGCTATTATACTTACTTACTATTATAATACTATATTAGGCTATACTGAAGAAAATACTTATTTTTTATATTTAATGGCACTAAAATGTATGCACCCATTCTGCACTATTACTTCCTGTTTCACTTGTAGGATCGTGGAAACGTGTTCATTTTTAAATCTATTTCGTTGATCCGTTTTAATATTGTTTACCTGTGAATCAAAGTGGTCGGCTAAAAATTTATATCCATATTAAAATACATTATCAAATAACAGTCCTTTAATTTATTAAACTTTAATATAAGTTGGAGAAAAAACATGATTTTTGAAAGATTCGTAAAAATAAATTTAATTTTAGTAAAGTTATTTTCGAGTTCTTAGGTTTTCGCGATTGTTACACATAGGAAATGAAACTATTTTTCCGGATTTAAATCGCGTATATTTGTTTTTTCAAACAAACCGACGTTTCGGGCCCTTTACAGGTCCCATGGTCACGGTTGACTGAAGTGGTACAGTCTTCAACCAGTTATGTCTAATATTAATGCAAACCACCCTATTTTTTCACTATAGTTACAATAGTTATTAATTAAATACCTTATTTTTAATTTTACAAAGAAAAACATTCCAATTTACGCTACATTGAGTTTTACAAATTATTTTATTGAATGAATTTTTATTAGGTTTAATTTATTATTAATTATTAATAGAAATTAGAATAAACTAAAACATATTAATTAGTACTGCAGTCTTATGTCTGTTTGGGATTTTTCATTAGAGGAAATACTGGATCCCAAACTGGTGGTACGGAGAAACCATCTTCCCTGTTGAAATTAGGATGTTTTTTAATTTCAATGGCCTCTCGCAGCATCCTGGGTAGATAACGGACTTCTTTTGCAAGGACCTGGGGTTTGTCAAACTTCATTGAATGTGTAGGTTTATCCATGACATGCTCGCAGACTGCAGACTTGTTTACGCGACGGTGTTTGACATCAGCTATATGTTCTTTGACGCGGGTACAAATACTTCGCTTTGTTTGTCCAATATAAGAGAGACCGCACTCACTGTCAAGCTTGTAAACTCCTGCATCCTGTAAGGGGATGTTACATTTCACGGGTCTCAGGAACTGAGAAATCTTCCTCAGGGGCTTGAAATAGGTCTTGATAGATGCACGCCTGAGGATTCTTCCGATCTTGTCTGTAACACCTCTCACGTAAGGTAAGATGGCAGGTCTTCGCTCGACTGTAGGTGGTTTCACACGGGGTCTGCGGCGTTGGCGTGGAATCCTCAACTTATTCGCATGTAGGACTTGCTTTATATGCTGAAGTTCCCCCGCCAGATGATTACTGTCGCAGACACCATATGCTCTCTGAAACAAAGATTTGCCCACGGTAGCTAACTGGCTAGGATGGTGATGGGAATTACCATTGAGGTACCTATCTGTATGGGTTTTCTTTCGAAATACAGTATGGCCTAGGGTGTTATTAGGATTTCTTTTAATTAAAACATCTAATAAAGCTAAAGTACCACAATTCTCTTGTTCCATAGTAAATTGGATCTTAGTACTAAAAGAATTAAGATGGTCCAAGAAAGAAGGTATGCTATCTTTAGGTAATATTGTGAAAGTATCATCAACGTACCGTTTGAAAATCTTCGGCCTAGCTGGGGCCATGGGTAAAACTCGCTCCACGAAGTCTTCCATGAAAATATCAGCAACAACGGGAGATACCGGGGAGCCCATCGCTATACCGTCAATTTGTAGGTAGAATTCATTATTCCACAATAGATAGCCTGATGTTAGGCAGTGTTCTAATAATTCTGCATATTCAATGGACATATTATGTTCCCTTAGCTTCCTACGTACAATTTCAATGCAGTCTTTTACTGGTAGGTTGGTAAACAGCGACTGAACATCAAAACTGACCATGGTGTCATCATCAGTTAACCGTAGATCTTTGATTCCACTGATGAAATGGTATGAATCCTTCACATGTGTGGAAGTGTTCCCTCTCAATGGTGACAGTACCTTTGCCATGTGTTGAGCCAGTTTGTAGGTTGGTGTGTCAATCTGGCTAACTATGGGACGGAGTGGGGTGTCAGCCTTATGTATTTTTGGTAACCCATACAATTTTGGTGGTTTCACGACGCAGGGCACAAACGCACTTACATCAAGTTTCAGCGTATCGGAGTGCTTAGATATTAAGTTAGTTGTTGTTTTTAATATCTTGGTGGTAGGGTCTTTCTTCACCTTTTTATACGTGCTTTCATCCGATAGTAAGTCAGTTATTTTGCTGTTATAATCTGACGTATTCATGACCACCGTCGCGTTACCTTTATCTGCACGGAGGATGACTAATTCAGGATCTTCGCGGAAGGTCTTCAGCGCGTTATATTCATCTCGAGTAAGATTCGGTCGAAACGTCGGTTTGTTTGAAAAAACAAATATACGCGATTTAAATCCGGAAAAATAGTTTCATTTCCTAAAGTTATTTACGTTCATAATTGTAAAGTTAAGCCCCGACGCCCCGTTCAGAAATAAATTACGACACTTTCAATCCTATCTTTTTTGTACCATCCTTATCTCATTCCTCAAACGGTCGTAGTGAAAATTTGTACCTACCACAGAATATTATTAAGACCTGTATTACAGAATAACTGAGTATTAGTTTATTATTATAATTTGATTGTTATTTTATCAACTTTCCGCAGTAAATAAAATATAAATCCAGTGCATTTAAAAAGTATATGGAAATACCAATACAAAATTCTTAATTGAGATTAAGGGCCGTGATTTTTCATTTAGCTGGTCCAGACCTGTAAGGCACTCTGACATTGTATGTATTATGATAGTATAGATTTTTGTAGGACTTCGTATTTATTGAAATCATAAATTCGTCACTTACTGATGGCTGTCCAGTATATCCAATAATGCTTTTTTGAGGCTTGGCTGTGTTGACGTGATCTTTTAATATTGAAAGACGTGATACTAATTTGGTATTACACGCTTTACAAAAAGCTGAGTTGGAGTCATCCTTGGCTCTTGATAGCCACGATGAAAACATAGAATCTGTCTCCCTCTCAGAACGATAGGTCGTAACTCCATTTCATTTTTGACTATTTGCACAGAAAACAGAAATAAATGTCTAAAAATCGAATCTTGCTAAACATCAGCTAATGTTTTACTAGATCCTGCTAGAAACTTTACATTGAATAAATAATTTCTATTTCTATTTCTATTAAACTGCCAACTTTTTCTAAACATCGATAAAATCTGCTAAGCCCTAAATTAGAGGTGTTATCCTGCTAGAATCGCAGGATCCTGCTAAATCTGGTCACACTGAGCGTGTGCGTAATTTTGACATTGACAGCTTTGTTTTTTTTAAGATATTTGACTTGGACACAAGTTTTTTGAGCCAGGTCTTCTTTCAATTATACTAAGGACTTCATTCATTTATCGGGATCCTAGTTTATTTTCTATTGTGTTCATAATTGGGTAATTTTGCAAAAAAAATTCAAAATAGAAATTTTGCATGACACGATGAACACTAATTTATTTTGTGTACCCTCTTTGGTAAGGAAATTACGAGTCAAAGTCAAAGTCAAAGATCATTTATTCCATAGGTAAAATAGATTTACACTTGAAAACGTCACATTTACATTACATTAAGCTACTGCTCGTTCACTACGTTGACTTCCCTGAGAAGAAGGAGCAAGAAACTCTAAGCATTGTTTTTTAAAATAAACTTAATTGCTATGGAATACACTTTGAATCAAATTAGCCAGTAATTGATGAATTTCGTTTAGAAATATAAATTAAACAGTCGTATAGTTTTAAATTTGTTTTTTCATATGCCTGTGGTTTTTTCATTCTCATTACTTTATTTTTATGTATTTTTTGACAATAATTAATTTATTATACTAGAATAAATTTTTCATAATGAATACCAAATTTTACTTCTTAATTTTAAGAATACAAAGTTTTTATTATTTATAGAGCCCCTCTACCCAATTCTCCCTCTACGGAAAATTCAGAATATTCTTTTTTTTTCTTTTTTTCGCTTATTGGCGCGAGGTGCCCTTTTCAATTAACGCTTAGAGGATGGAAAAAAAAGAATTAACATGTTTTTTTTTTTTTTTTTAATTTATTAAGGCTTTGGCAAAGCCATCAGCCTAAACATGAAGTTTAAATATGTTTCTGTAAATATGGCTGCCACAAAGAGGATAGGCATTTGAGGCGGGCGTGCTTGGATTGAATCGGGATTCCTTAAAACGGGCCGATACGGGTATTTTATTTCGAGATTCGTATAATTTCGCGTTTTAATCTTCGATTAAGGCACAATAGCACTATCCTATTCCACTTTAAACTAGATTTCACAAAATAATTGAAAGTCAAAATAAAAATGACACTTTTCCCTCCAAAAGGTCCAGAGCGAATGATTAACATGATGTTCATTTGAAACAGCAACGCAAGTGACACAATGTCATTCTGAAATTTTACTTTTCTGATTACTAATGTGTATTTTATATGGTTAATTTTATGATTTAAAATCGATTATATTTATGAGAAATGGCATGCAACGAGAATATAATAAAGAACGTGGCTACAGAAGTAACGAGGAATTGTCAAACGCAAAATGTTAACGTCGAAATCGAGTTCGTTGGTTTCCTAATAGACCTGTTACTTCTGAACCCTAAGTACGGAAAGCAATTCGCCAAAAATCTAAATAGAAAAAAGCTGGAATACTTCGTGAACGAATGCGTGACAATGCTCATTAGTAAGTTCTTTGTAAACATTTGGTTTGCAAATTGTAAATTTTTATAACACTATCTTTATTCAATTGGCCATTCACTGCACTACCCATTGATGGATACGATATGCCGTATTTACTTTACATCTGTGAAATGCGGATCAAAATGGTAAGGGCAGACAACAGCAAACAACACAACAAATATTTTTCTCAAAAAATGCTACATATCGACGAATTAACTTGTAGTTTGGCAATACCTACAAATACATAGGTACCTACTTGTATATAAAGCACATCAAGCTTGGCACTTTGGACCATTCTTATCGTAAGTATAAGTGTAGCAAAACGGTAATCTGAAATATCAGGGTAGTGTGGGTTAATGGGAATACGTGTATAGGGAACGATCCCTGTACCCCACTTACGTCGGTGGGGTCGGGTTCGGCCTGCGGCTCGTGGTCGCTTTCAGATTACGGGGTGTGCTTATGCTCTTCGGTGGCACAGTACAATGGGGTCTTGATGAGGAAGTTCCAGATTCTTATTTGAGCCAATTTATGAAAAAAAAAATTTTAAGTTGGTTCTGGTCAGGGTATTCTGGGTATTGTCTTCAGAATTATCGTTACTCTGATACTCATAGTACAGGAAATTCCCTAGTTTGAGACCAAAAATTTGAAGTGATTGTCTGGCATTTTTTCACTAAATACTTATCTTTTTGGCATAGCTACCAATAAAAAAGAAGTCGAGGTACAACAACGCTATCAGTTGAAAATGTATGGCGGCTATGTTGGAAAATGGCAAGGGGCAGGGACAGGGACAGGGACAGGGACAGGGACAGGGACAGGGACAGGGATTCTATTCCTGGGCTGTGCGCTTAATAAAAGATGATGAAAAACGCTTAGTACGCCTGAAGGGAATATCGACCAAGTCGACGTTATTAAGTTTTGTAATAACTAAAATTATATAATGAGTGATTATTTATGAGTTTCTTTTTCATTTTTATAGAGGGTACGCGTTTTTCTCTGCCAGAATTCTCATGTGAAAAGTGATAACAAAGGTATAACTTATAAGCCAGCGTCATACTCTGGTTACGCTCTACGTCTAAAAGAAGAATGCATGATTTTAGGTGGCGAACCATGTCTTAATACATTGAAAATGCAATTTGTAATGATAATGAATTACGACAAGTTGCCAGTATTATTAACAAAACAGCAAGCCCACGTAGAAACTATTTTAAAACCATTAGTCGACGAGATCATTGATGCAGATCCTGATGATGACGATGATGACGCAGCTTTCAAGAGATTGTATAGGAAAATTTGTATATACATTTCGATGGCGAGTGGATTGGGCGCCCCTTCTGTGGTGGTTGTTAGTATCTCATTCATAATAATTTGTGATGCCATAACCGAAATAAATAGATGCACAAATAGTTTTTACTAAGTAGTTTTTACTTATATGGCAATAGGCACTCGCATACTCTACTTCCATAGTTGGGGTATTAAAGAAAGAGGTTAGACTTAAAAATTAAAGAATAATAATTGACATCAAAAATTAAACTACAAATAATCATAACAATAATGGTTTTCGATAGAGTTTTAATATGAGGTAATATAAACTAACCCTTTCTAGCGATAACCCGACTATAGCATATAATATGGTAGTAGGGGAAAGGTGTACGAGATGATCCTTGGAGGTAAGATGATCCTTTTCAATTGTAGCGAAACTAGTAACGTCATCTAGATATTTCCTTTAGTAAAATGTAGGCCTCATTGTGCCCTCTCATCAGTCAATTCGTAATAGCGATGTGAATGACGAATTCAGTTTTGTGGAAAAAACAAAAATTGTGTGATCCAAGGTAAAGTTGATTTTAATCAACTTAGGCTTAGGCAACTTCCATTCTAAGCAATCAATTGCTAAGACTTTTGTGTTGGTGGCTTTGTATAATGCTCTATTTACTTTTTTAATGGCGTGGTAACAGTAGACAGCATACAGGTTATTTTTCCGAACAAAAAATAAAAATAAGCAAATTGTGGCCAGATGATTATGGTTAACGATTTAACGGACTATATTTAATTTGTATGTTGAAGTAAGTTTGTATGCTGAGTACTGGAACCTCCTAATTAAATAGCTTGCAATACGAATAAAATAGTAGAAGACTGGATTTCGTTTAGTCGTTAGGTCATAAAAAAAAACGGGCTAAAGGTGAAAATAAAGGGTCTGTCAGTTCAATGAAATATTTAAGTGAAATAAAAAACTTTTTTCATCAGATGTGTTAAACATGAAATCGAGCTCGTAAAGTACATTAAAGATATGGAGACGAGGAAGCATAAGCAACTTGCCATAAAAAACAATATCGCCCACCCTTAGGTACCTGTAAGATATAAATTAATTAGGATAATTTGTTCTCGAAGTCCATAACTATTGTTTCATATACACCTAGATTACACAAATGAGGACTTTGTTAAGTCTAAAAAGTTGTTGTTTTCATTTGTTTCTACCAAAACTTAAAATTTTCCTAAATAGAGGCAAGGTTCCTGGTCCCTGGATCATCTTGCCCATACCCTGAGGATCATCACCCCGGTGTCCAAGACGATCCTTTAGTACGGTTTTAAAAATATTCAAATATAATAATGAAATATGAAAAAATAAAACGTTTTTAGTAAGACAACATGTAAATAGATAAATTTTCTATCATTCAACTCTTTTACATCTGCTTTAAGCTGAATATCTTTTAAACTGCCACCATTCTCCCTTAAGGGGATTATCTGGTACACCTTTCCCCTACTCAGTTCAGAGAACAATTTTCTCCCATACACTTTTAACATTCCGGCAGCCAGACGACGGCTGAAAAGAAAGATTTAAAAAACTTCCATTTCTAGAATTTAAAAGAGGCGATGGCAGCATTAGAAAGTGTTTACGATTTCGAAGAATTATACTTATTTGTAACGTTACCACGGTCAGACAAAGCGGAGAAATTGCAACAGCTGCTGGAATTAGTGTCTGGTGTGAGGCTGTACAATAGAGACTGCAAATTGGGCGGCGAGATGATTCCTGATCGTAAGTGAAATCTTTCTCTCTCAGGTTTTTTGGCGTAAAACTAGTGAAACCACCTAAAGTAACACCTACAGCGCCGGTATCAGACCATTTATTCCAAAATAGACGATTTATTTGGATGATATAGAATAATTTCACGTAGAAGTTTGCAATTTTCTTCAGTCATCTAGTAGATGGGCAAGTTACGAAGGTGGCCAGCGTCAATTTGTGTTCAAATTATGAATGGCTTAAATGGTACTGGACGTCGTTGTTGAATTTGTTATCTTCTACAAATGGTTTTCTGTAATATTATTGCTCTATAGCTGTAGCCGGCCTGGACCTGGATACAAGCCATTCTGTAGGAACGCATTTAAAGAAAACATCAGAATATGGAATTGCCTCTGCAACCACACCTGCTATGTAGAACGTTACTTTTTTCAGCTTTTTAACATTTTACCTAACTCTTCTGTCCCGATAGTTCCAATGGACCTCGTCGACGCTAGCAAAGCCAGTCTCGCAACATTAAGCAATTCCCTGATGGGTGTGATGCAACGCGTTAACACACTAACAACTGCAATTGATGATCGAATTGTCATCGAAGATGAGACAGGGAATATTATAGTCTCTATACCTAAGGACAGTGATTTGACTGAGTAAGAGAGGATGTCACTACTAACTTGTAAAAATATACTGTTAAATTATATTCTAATAGCTCATTCCTGTCCACTATTAGTGTTCCCATCTCAGAAAGAGCAACTTTCGATGACTTCCATAATCTTAACAATCTTTACTGGCCCGCAACAAATCTCACGTCAGTCAGCCGCAAAATGTCTACAATTCGATGCGCGTGTTCTTGCATTGTGATGTCGCTATAATTCTTTCTCCGTGTGATCCTAACACGAAACTTGCTTACAGAGATAATTACAAGCAAATATTTGAGCTGCTCATCTTCAATCGACAATATGAAATGTACACAAGACGTCTTTTATTTGATGTGGAGGTATTAGTGCACGAAAGTATAAATTTACAATCCGAAGTGAAGCAAGTGTTGGATAATATACAGGCTACTTGTAGGTTTAAAAGTGCAGTGCCTATTGCAAGTGTATTTGTAAGTATACATTCGTGGTTTATTTTTCATGCCTCCTTTTGGCAACAAATGGGTTTGCCTATCGCTTTAAAGCGGAGAGATTCCCTGTTTGATACTATGTATAGTTACCAATCATCCTTTTGTGGTTTGTGAGACGGGGATACGGAAATATTTAACTTGGTCGATCTCTTTTCTCTCCCGCGCAGGCTATGACAATGGCTGCCAAGTTATCGTACTTAGTTAATATAAAGCTAATGCTCTTTTACAGCCTTTATTTACGAGACTCTGGGAAGTTTGGGAGTCGATGCAAAATACTATGTTTCTGGTGTCTACGATTACCAGATTGACAAACATACTTGGGAGTATTCAAGACCACATGAGAATTCCGCTCAATATAGTGGATGCTATGCTTCAAGGAAAGAAAATAATTGGCGATGAGGTTGGTTTTTTAACCGACATCAAATAAGGAGGAGGTTCTCAATTCGACTGTATGTTCTTTTTTTTGTATGTATGTTACGCGATAACTCCGGTATTTGTGAACCGATTTTCATGATTCTTTTTTTGTTGGAAAGTGGAAGTACCCCCACTTCCATAGTGGTCCCATTTCATTTTGAAGAAAATCATCCACCTCGAAGGGTGGCTGTTCACGCATGAAGATTCATTTTTATAAATATATATAATAATGATAATGATAATGACGTTGGTATTTTTAAACATTGTAGAATCTTACCTGTTTATACCCAATTCAAGTATATGTTTTTAAAATCTATGTTTTTTAACAACGATCTTAAACAAGTAATAAATCACCCCGTGTGTACGCGAGCGATGGCTGAGGACCGGTTGCTAACGAGTCGCGCGAATAATGTGTACGGCGAAAGAACATCTACCTACCTTCTTCCCCGACTTATTAATAAGTTACCACTGGAACTACGAAATACCTTAACAACCATTAATATAAAACATAAACTTAAAGATTACTTTGTACAAAACTTTAAAAAATATGATGAACATTTAATATAATAGGATGAATGTATTTACCCAATCCCATTAATTTTAGTAACATATATATTATAGATTATTTATACAAATTACTTAAATATAAGCTTCTGCTAGCATGTTCAAATTTGTATTGTGTAGATACAGGTCGCATTATGACAAGCCTTAGTGGTTTAAAATGCGCTTAGAAACATATTTGTGTATTTTGTCCTTTATACAATAAATAAATATAAAAAAAAATAGCGTCTAAACTTTAATTTAGGAGCAATTATTTTAATGGTTGTTTTTGCTATTTCTCCAATTCAAGGCGTTTTTTTCTCAATATACTTTGAGTAGTTAGAGGACCGATTTTTATTATCTCCAGTGTCAAGTCCTATATAGTGGTAAACTATGATATGGTGGTATTAGTGGTGACTATGGTGATATTTCAGTAAACTTGGCAAATAGACGTAATTCCACGTACTTTTGAGGTCGTTTTTTAGTACTTTGTACTCAGATTATGAATCTACAATTATTATTGAAAGGTACGATGAAAAATGTATGCCTCACATGGTTTTTCCTCAACAGGAGAGACTCAGCAGCATTAGTAGCGCTGAAGAAACATCTATAGTTAATTTGCGGGCTATAACAACAATAAAATCTGAAAGCCTTCTTACCGTTGTTCATATGGCAAAACACGTGCAGGTGAGTCAAGATTGTGCTAAAAATTTTTTCTACATTATTATAATTGTATGGTTTTAAAATTTTGGTGATTTTCAATAAAAATCCTTCAGTACCTGGGCTTTTGCGTGGTGTGTTTGTGTCAAGGAGCTTTGATACCCTGCAATCTCAAACTGGGTATGATGAAACATAATGGAAATGCGTATGGGTTTTGCTCCTACAAGATGGCGGCACGATTTGCTAAGGATCCACAGAGGTTGGTACGAAGTGATTAAAAGCCTACTTAGCTCTTTAACCAAATTAAGTATAAATGTACATCGATTAACTCTTGTTTTCGACTATTCGGATTGTCAGGTACATCAATGAAGTACTTAATTTTGCGAGAAACAACCCGCAAATTATAATTTTGCTCAATTTAAGACACGATGTTGAAAGCGTTAGAGAGATAGATGAACTAGTCGTTCGCTCTGCACCAAAAGGTAATTGCTAATTCATTATGATTTTCAAATGTACTGGTCCGAGATTCTGGATTAAGCTATTTTCAAATAAATATTTTTTGTAGTCAAGAACTTTGACAAGAATATCCAGACAGAGGTGCACTTATACGAGAAAAACATTGACAGAAATTACATTTGGGATCTCTGGGAATACAAGAAGAGAGCTTGCAAATGGGTAAGCGAGAAATATTGGAAGCTATTGTTAAAGTTAATGTTTAAATGTGGATAATTAATTAAACAATAACTGATAGCGTAAAACGCAAAAAAATTATCTACATTATTTATACTAACTACTTATTGATAGCTGATTATGAATTCTAAGAACCATGTTGGATCTTAGCTACAAAATAACAGAGAAAAGGTACTTTTGGTGCTAGGTACACAAGGAGTATTCTCCATGGATGTAGGTTCTCGGTAACGAAAAATCGTAGGAAACCAATATTGTGAAATGTTTTTCAATTTTGATTCGTTTTGCAGGCAGACGTTACAAATTGCAAAACGCATTCCACTCAAACCAATCACAGTCATATGCGTTCGGAACACCATTGTCAGACAGTGGAACCAAGGGATAAATGCCATCAAACTAATCGCGAAGTGGGCGTCATGACAAATATGTGTAACTTCTTCTATTGGGGTCTTAGAGGACAGAGAGGTTATGGCCAGCATTCTTTGGACTTGGAACAACCTCATTTAGCAAAGAAATTAAAACGTGAGTATTTCTAACAATCACATTGGCAAAATGATTAGGTACCTTTCAACAAATGAAACTAGAAAAAGGATATAAGATTAGGAGTCGGTTTGGATGTTACGGCTGGTTTATGCCTTTAGCGCGATATGCCGTTGCAACAACCCTATATGTTCTACTGGCGAACCAGTTTAAAAAAAAAAAAAATTCCATCAATTGAGTTACGACCGTCGTCAGTGCAATTTTCTGTCTTGCGTTGCAGTAAATAATATCAGCGATAAATATTTATTAACAAAAATAACTCACATTTTTTATTTATATTTTCGCCTTCACAGCCCTTTTAGTGGAGGAATGCAGTTGGCCCTGTTTCGGCGAACTGGCAGATTTAAAATCAAGTTCATATAAAGGGTCAGATGACGGGCAGCCCTTTTTCTATCCTGGCAGTTTCAAAAAAGGTGACGCTACTCTACATGTTGGCTGACAAGCTAATATGTTTCCCACAATTACTTAAAGCAATATAATGTACCTACTGTCAGTGCACGAATTATGAACCAGAACAGAGGCGTCCGCAAATAAAAAGTAACACCTTCATATTCTAAAATTAATGGTACTTTTTTACCTTGGTTGGTCTCTTCTACGTCCATTTCTTATCTGTGTTGTTGTGTAACATTTACATTTTTGTTGTATGATAAGTACGCGGTAGAAATAAAATAGCACCGTGTTAACAGACCAATGTCAATTGCCAGCATGTCGAATGGTGGATGTATAACTTCGATGCCTATGATTTGTTTGTTACAAGCAGATTATGATGCCACACCCCTATATTTTATTGTTAGAAACGCACTATAAATCTTAACACGGTTGCGAAACAGCACTACCAACCGCTATAGCCAACATATAAAATGCAGCCTTCTTAAACGGCTCTTCACTACCTGCTTGGCGTCCGCCGCGCTGACAGGAAACTGCTCACACACTATCCTGCGTACGGCCCACGTATGGAGTCTCCCAGGACGCATTTCAGGACTGGATGGCTTGCTCACTGCGACTACATTCATAATCCTGCATTACGCGGCAGATGGGAAGGCGGACTGCAATGCAGGATAATGAATGCCCCCTTTTAAACCAATCAACGTAAAGCAATCAATAAAAAAAAAACTGTCGGTTGTCATGTGGTTGTCATAGCAATATATTCTTTACCAATGAATCGGGCCCTGAATAGTCTTTATCGTATGCTCGTGATGAAATAAAATACCTGTCAAATGAGACCAAGATGTATAAAAACAATGACTTTTTAATTAAGCAGAATATATTTTTTACATTCTGCCAAATGACTTCACGAATATTCAGTCATTAATTGAATTTAACCATTATAAAATAACCAAATCGATGAAGCAAGAAAATTAGTATCTTTTTGTTTTTATCACTAAAGAAAAAAATAACAAAAAATTTGTCTGAACCCATACTTTTCCGAAATTTTGACGAGCAGCAGGTACTTTATAATTCTCATGTTTTTATTTAAAACATGCCTATTATAATTAATGTCTGCTTATTGGATTAAATGTTTACCTAATCATATTTTGGAATTAAATTACCTATTAATTAGGCTAATGCGCTTTAATTTTGAAAGTAAATGTATTTTTCAATAAAAAAATCTTTTATTTATGCATCCGCATAACAATTCTTCAGATTAAACTCGAATGCTGTATGCACAAGTTTAACCTAGACAATCAGGTCTGGGTGGAATGGAACTTTAGCAAACCCTGTAACAAAAGCTGCAGGCGTCAGTGCAAAGATTTATCCTTAAAAACTGTGTTTACCTTTTTTGTGTTTAAATTTTTGGGGATTTTGAATAATTAGCATTGACAACGCTGCAAAAATCTGACGTGTGTTTAGTCTCCCTGCAAAAGTATAGAGAGATCGCCTTCAGACAATCGGATCGGCAATAAAATCGGACGCCATTTCTGACTCGGACGTCCGATCCGATTATTTGCTCGGACGCGTATTGAGTGTTCAAACAAATATATGGTACGAACGCCTACCGATAGTCGGATCAGACTATCGGATGGAAAATCGGACATGTATTTCCGCACTAAAAGCTATGAACATACTTGTAAATTGCTTGTAAATCATAAATATTGCCTAATATAAAATATAAATATAGACCTTCAGATAGGACTTCGAAAGCAAATGACAGGTACCCATCAAAATGAAATAAAAATAAAGATTATTTAATTATTGCAAAGTGCTACCAATATGTGCAGGATCGATTCCGTTTAGTTTTGTTGACAGTCAAACGACTTCAAGTTCTATAACACTTAGAGCTTAAATGTTTCTTGCACCATTCGATTTCAAGTGCCTTGCGTCAAGGGTGGGTGGGGTCCCTGGTTGGGCGCCACTCTTACTAACTTTTGTACAGGATGGTTCAGAACGACCGACAAAGCCGAACATATATGTATATATAGTTGCCCAAATTAGAGACCCTAAATATCTAACTCTTATTACACCTCTCTAAGATAGAATAGATATTATAGATAAAATCATAATGGGTTCAAGTATTATTTTCGGTATTATTAAATTACAAATAAAGATTCGTATAAAAGAACGCATATAAGTTTATAAATATGTATGTATACTAAATTTTATCTATAACTTGTATATTATTTTGTTGATGGATAATACAAATATCTCCTAGAAGATATAAATAGTCCTATTTTTCAATCCAATTATAATATTTCATAAATTGTCGTGTTAGTATCAAATTGGAGCAGCTTATTTGCGAAGCACATAAAATAAATTCGAACAAAGAGTATACGTGTATCTAGCGCAGAAAGTAGGTCCAATTCCAAGATTCGCGCGCGCTGTTGCTACTAAGAACCGGTAGATTGAATTTCTTGTTTGTTATTATAAATCGTTTTATGGTATTTGCAACACTATCATTTCCACCAGCAACAGAGTATTATTTAGAGTACGTTTGACGATTCCGCGTGACGAAATTACTTCGAACCATCACAATGAACTATGGCTATAATTAATTATTTTGTTTATTTACTTTTATGTATTACAGAGGATATGAGCAAATTAGCGGTGGCGCCCCGTAAAAGAAGGGGACATGCTATAGACCGTACAGAAGAATCAATCAACACAACCAAGACCGTCGTCATAGCACATGCAAACTTCAACATGCAATATACGCCCCCCGGTAAAACAAGTGCGCCTAATTGCGCAACCCCTGGATCAAAACTTAAATCCGTCAGTACTACACATGAACCCAATGAATGTCCACATGTGTCTACTGGAACATTACTTGAGTCCTTCGACACAAGAGATACATCTATTTACTCATCAAATGCTATTTCCCGGACGTATTCATCAAGTGCAGCTCAGGCGGCCTTTTCCAAACCATGTTTAGCAACCGGTACAGCCCAAGCTTTAATTACTAAATTAAATTCGTCCGCAGGTACTGTACAAGAATCTGTCGGCACATTACATACATTAACGGGTAGACCCAATGAGTTTGTCATCAAATCACATGTAGCCTCTAGTACAGAACAAGCATCCTTCACCAAATCACACGCATCCGTAGATACAGCGCTAATACCCACCAGTGAATTACATTTGTCCCCCACTAATAAATCATATGTATCCGCAACTGCAGCACCAGCAGTCATCGCCAGATCCCATTTATCTCCCAGTACAGCACAACCGTCTGTCGCTAAATCACTTCTATCGGCAGCTACAGCACCAGCAGCCATAAGCAAATCACATGTGTCCGCCGGTACAGTACAAGCACCCACCACCAAATCACATTTATCTCCCAGCTCAGCACAAGCATCCGTCGCTAAATCACATGTATCGGTAGCTACAGCACCAGCAGCCAAAAGCAAATCAGATTTATCCGTCAGCATAGCACAAGCATCCATCGCTAAACCACATATATCCGCAACTACAGCGCCAGCAGGCATCGCCCAATCACATTTAACTCCCAGCACAGCACAACTGTCCGCCTCCAAATCACATGTATCGGCAGTAATAGCACCAGCAGCCACAAGTAAATCACATTTATCCCCCAGCACAACACAGGCATCACTTTTCAAATCACATGTTTCGGCAACTACAGCACCAGCAGCCATAAACAAATCACATGTATCCAGCGAAACAGCACAAACATCCATGGACATATTAAATTCATCAACCGGCACATCAAAAGTGGCCAAATTACATTCATCCGCCGGTACAGATCGAGGATCCATGGACACGTGGCATACATCAACCGACTCTTCCCATGCGTATACCGTCACAACACTATATGTGCCCGTCGATTCATCGCCGACATCTGCCGGGATGCTTACACTTACCGCCACACCAAATGTACCAAATGTAATGGCACAACATTTACGTCCACCCGCACAGCATATTAGTGACGCGAGTAATTCTATTTGATTTTTTATATTTTCCTCCTCCTCCTCCATCGGTCCCGCACTACTAAGGATCGTGACTTTAAGTAAGTATACCGTCAACCAATCTTCACCACTGCTCTCTGGCTTCATCTAGGTGGAGTGCGACGTTCGCTACCTGGTTACACCATCGTTTCGAACTGCGTCCTCTAGGTCGTTTGCACTTTCTTTTGCCCGTAAAAATTATTATTATTTCAAGATTATCAGCGCTTCTGTGCTGTGGCCAAAGAATTGAAGAATGCGAAGCAAACAGACAGAGGATAAGCGTTGTTGATTTTTCAGCTACAACTCCTCAAGCACGGATACGTTCATGTTATGTGCTGTCCAGGGAATCCTTAGTCGGCGATGCCAATACCACATCTCAAACGCGTCAATTCTTTCTCTGTCAGCGACATTAAGTGGCCAGGCTTCCGCGCCTTATAAACATAATGGAGAAGACTAGCGTGCGAACAATGTGTATCTTTGTTCTATTGTGAATGTTTCTGTCCTTCCATATCTTTGTTAGTTGTGTCATGGCAGTTTTTGCCATATCAACGCGTCGGCGTATTTCAGGTTCACTTTTTCCTCTGTTACTGATCACTGACCCAAGACAAGAACTCATGTACGGTCTGATATTCTTTTAGTGCATCTGAACGTTGAATGGAAGTGAAGCGGTCTACGATCATCAGTTTGGTTTTCTTTTTATTAATTAGTTGGTAGCCCTAGCTCTTCATTTTTTATTTATTTATTTGCCGGCACGAATTAGTGGGCACATGAGACTAGAAAAAGAGCGACTTCGAGTCATAATAATTTAAATCCAGTTGGATTAATTGACCCTTACACATTTTCATTTATATTTTAATGTTACAGAATTCCTTAATGTTCATTAATTTATGCTCATCTTGTATGTTTGTTTTTTAAATTATGTTAATTTATTTGTAATTTTGTTAAGAATTTTATAATTAAAGATTTTATGTCGAATTTTTGCTTTAGTAATTATTATTTACAAGTTGACACCGCAAACTCCTGGTGGAGTAATTGTGAACCATCTCTGTTCAGCGCCTAAGCTACTCAAAAGCTAAACAAAAATTGAAGACCCTAGATAGCTGATAAAAGAAGTTTACCTATTTTCATTTCCTCGTAAACCCCTTCATAAAAAATAAATTTCTACTGCATTTGTTTTAAAAACTCGTGAAGGTCAGCACGCCAGCACATCAAGCCACGTATCTTGTTCCGTTGCAATGGAGGCGATTTTCGAACAAAAATGTGTAGACTGATTTGCCGTTGTGCCGTTGTCCGTACATACATTGCCAAGATTTGGATTCTGACTATTTAACATTCTC